GGGTCGAGTTCACGGAGTGCATCCTCGATGGTCCTCATCATCGCATCTGATAGATGATCCGCTTCAGATGCAGCCCAAGAATATGCCGGGGGGAGGGCGTTCTCCCTCTGTGCGCTGCCGAAATCACAGCTGCTCGCAATTCGCACGTATTCGGGCTGTAAGATGGTCAGCGCACAGAGCTACATTCGAACGTTGATTGGGATGACACCGACAAACGCTCCTGGGAAGAATTTCTCAACAGAAGATCCTTGGGGCGGAGGTGGAGCGTTTTCCCCTTGCGAGGGGACATGCTGTGACCCGCGTTGCCGGCGTGATCCGGGTAAGAGCCCTGAAAAGCATCCAGACCGCTCATGCGGCAGATTTGAGGCCATCTCTCAAGGGTTCACAGCGCTCTAGTCGCGGTGGGTAGTACCCAGGACGTAGCAAGACCAGAGCCGCTTTATAAGCGCTACAGAAGGACATAGTCGCGTGGTATACGCGCGCCATCACCGACCCGAGTTCAGATATGGAGCGTGGCGCGTTTGTCGGGCCTCCGTGGTTGTCGGATGTTCTTCCGGCTTCGTATCGCAGGGTCGTTGTCAATTGAGATGTCATCACTCTAAAAGGGGTCGATTAGCCACCAAAACATTTATAGCACGATTTCTAGGGTACGACAATGCAAATAAGGACGCGACAGGATGATTGTCCGCGGTCGTGGACAGGACTCGGAAGGCACGGTGTGGCTTGAGCCAGGGCGGCTACGTCCAGCGATCCTTGACCCCAGGACCCAGTCGGAGTGGTCAGCAGACGCGAACCACGATAAGGGTCGATTACGGGGCTGCCGATTTGGTAGTGAGTTTCTGGAATAAATTCACAGCCTTTGCCATGACACCCTCGCTCTCAATGAAGGCATCCTCCCCACTGAAGCCCAATCTCAGGAGCCCTGAACGCGTGCATAGCCGAGCGAGGTCACCGTTGCTAGAGGGACCAGCTTGAGGAAATGCTCCGCCCCCGACAAAAACTACAGTTTCTTGGTCGCTTGCCCTCATTATTCTCGCGGACGCCGCAAGGGCTGGGAGCAACTCTGTGTCGCCACGTCGTGCCCGGAGTTCCACGACACCAGAAAAACTCCGTGGAATCAGAAGTGAAATATTACCTACAATACGGGAAAGTCAGTCTCGATCCTTTTATTCAATCCACCGACGACAAAGGAGAAGCTCAGCGCAGCGCGGGCGGCGCCCCCCATTTGGTTATTCAAACATACGAATGGACAGTTGGGTTTCAAGCTTACCCGTCCGAGAATACGCGTCAAAGTGGACTGTCCTCGTGGGGGATTTGGAGACCTGCGTCGTGAGGTCAGTCGAGTCGAGGACAGCGATGACAATCGGCCAAGTGACCCACGAGTTCTAGAACGATATTCCCACTGCGCGTGGTGGAGCGTATGGTCGCATTTGCAGGCATGACCGATTCTCCAACGACACGGAAGGCCGCAGAGATGTTGCCATGTCTGGAATCTAACTTGGCAGTTGGTGCTCCCGATAACAGGTTGCGGACACGGCGTGATCTCCGCCCCCCGGCGACACGGTTTTCCACTATTTTCTCGACAATGGAGGGACTCGAAGATTGTGGGGCTAACGGGTCGAGCAGCCAAGAGCCTGGGGCGACGATGTAAGTTAAAAACAAGCATCCTAGATCTATCCCTACGCACCTCTGATCGGCTCGAGCATCGTGAGTACGTGCACGCCATTGGTAGGAACACTTGGAGCTGTGAAGGAAGACGCGAGTACAACAGACGAAGAAGTGGACCCGTAAGCAGGTGGGGGGTTTTCTGCAGGAGCAGACTATCCCCATAATGGTCAGAAAGCCGCTGTTGGGTCGTTACGGTTGCGTGCGTGACTCACATATTCCTCGAGTCCCGTCTTCTCTTTACGAATGCGGCTCAACTCTTCGTGGTCAACGATCATCACAGGAGGCTACGACTCAAGGTAGAAGCGAAACAGCTGGGAGCGCCCCGTCCCTTGAAAAAGACGACGTGTGCAGCAGCATGGAACACAGGGCTGTTTATAGACGTCAACTAGCGCCGTCACAGCCATTCGGCACGACTCGGGAGATGCTGCGTGCTGCGGTGCGTACTGCGGTCGTGTGTTTCGCTTCTGGCAACATCCGCTACGGTGTGATTGACGATTATTGCCGTTGGTGACACCGAGCGTTCAGGGTAACTACCCAGTTTCAAGGTCTCGATATACTTCGAAGCACTTCATTTGAGCGCGCGCCAGCCCATGGCGGCGTACTCGACATGACATTTGCCACTCGATCTGCTCATATGCCATATGAGTAGTTCGAGTGGCCTCATTGCCAGTGGCCTCACTGAGGCCAATGAGGCCAGAGTGAAGACTCTTTCCGATGGAAAACTCACAGTGCTCATTTCCCGGTTGCCTTCCATTTTGATTCGGATTCGGAACGTGTCCCCCATCAGCTTCGCTGGCACGGTTATCACTTCGATCATCAAATGTCACACACCCCTCCTTTGCGTCCGTACGTACAATCTATCAGTGGGTGACCGGGAATGCCGGATTGTTACCATACAAATCCCAACTCCTGTGTTTTCTCTCGGGTGAACTCAAATCCGCTTGGGTGGTCCTGCAACGTAATTCTAGCGCATAGAGGGCCGATTCCTGGGATGGACGCAAGGCACACCGCAACGCGCATTAACAGGTGCGCAGTGACCGCGTGTATGGACTACATGCACTGCTCTCCAGCAACTGCTTGATGACATACAATACTGACAGCACCAGCCAGAATATGGCTGGCCAATTATATCAACGCTTTGATAAATGTGCGGACGACAGGCGGCGCCCGCTCAAACGGAAGGACGCAGTTTGGTTCACCGAAGATTGCTGATCGGTCGATTCCATTCATATAGATGAAGAGCAGTTGAAGGACCCTTCATTAGGGTTGCGATGAAGCACCCTTGAAAATAGCTTTGAACCCCGGGGCAATCGGCACCACCGATCTGCCTGATCATCAACACCTCCTGATCGATCATGTCAAGTTGGGATATTTGGAGCCAGAGAAGAGAACGCAACCGAAAGTCGGCTTTAGAGTGCAAGGAGAAAGCGATGAGCATAACGTGATTGGACTAAAGCACAGATTAAGTCGTGTGCGGTCAACTCTGAAGTCTTTGAATTGCAACCCTTGTGAGTCTTTAGAGGCAAAATTGAAGGGGTCGCCACTCGCAGGGATAGTCACCGACACCCGACGGGGAGGGAGAAGCTTTCGTCGGCGCCACTACTCTGCCTAAGGTCACCCAGACGCCAGGTAGGTAGGCGCCGATTCGAGATATGTACTTTTCCCATGGCAGTCAGGTCTCAGCTCTGGCCATTACCAGCTAGTCGCGATCGGATTCTAATCGATGGCCACATAAAACATTGGGAACGAGTGTGAGTGCGGATTGTTCGGCAGCTTGACTCAGCCACGAGTGCCACCTTCTGGTTGGGTGCTAACAAGTAATCACACAACTAAGCGGCAGACGTGGGAAGAAATCCGATTAGAGGGCCGATGCACCGTGCAGGAAAGGTAGTACAGTTTAACATCATACATGTCCATTTTGCGTCACTGATACTGGGGGAGGGACTTTGTGGATGAGGGAGCCATGAGTCTGTGCACAAATTGCATGCAATGCTCCATTAGCTTGGGGCGCTCAGGCAAGCGGTCTTCTCCGCTAAACCCCAGCCTCACAGGCCCATGGCGAGAGTAGATCCGAGCGGTATCAGTGATGCTATCAGAGCCCACAACGGGCATCGGGCCCTCGCCCAAGAGAACGGTGATTTCTTTATTCTTAGTCCTTATCACACGGCCGGAGGCTGCTAGGGAAGGAAGCACCTCCACTGCGCCATGACGAGAGGAGAGCTGGACAAGGCCGCTGAAAGTCCGTGGAACGAGAAGAGTGACGCTGCCTGCATCGTCGGAAAATCAGTCGCATGGTCATCTCGCGGCCGTGGTACAGATGGAGGCTCATCGCACCTTTGCGTGAATATGCATCAATGTGTACCGTCCTCATAGGGGTGATAGAGACCTAAGCCGGGTAAGAACAATGCAACGCCATGCAAAAGTTATCACGACTGACAAGATTAAGAACGACGTTTCCTTTCCGCGACTCCGCGCGGATTGTGGCAATCGAACGGTCCAACGAGTCTCCGAGAACGCGCAGCGCTGCTTGTATGCTGCCATGACGGGAGCTGAACGTCGCACTCAGGGGTGCCGTCTTTGAGGAGCGAGCGCGACGGCACTTCTTTTTTGATTGACCGTCGAGGAACATTTGTACGAGGTTCTGCTCGGGAAAGAGGGGAGCCAGAGGATCGATTGTCCAAGAGCCTGTCCGGCGTTTGAGCGGTTTTTCACAGCGCTAGGGCGCGTTGAGACTTACCTGTTATGTCTTCTCGTTTCGTGTACAATGACAAGCCATTGACTGGCGCGGCGCTAAATGGCGCTACTGCTTGTCTGTTTCTGTTTCTTGAGAGTGCCGGAATCCTCGCGGGAGGGGTGGTCGCAGTCATGGGCGCCCGTGAGTACGCAGGAGGGGGACCTTCTTCCTCAGGATCGGTGGAGGGCTATGCCAATAAGAGGTCAGAAGGCAATCTCCTCTGTTGTAACGACAACGGCGAGCATACTCGCTTGTAGACGCCAACTTCTTTGTTTATGGAAGGTAGGAGAGGATGTTCAAGAATCATATTTAGAGGAAGGAGGAAGATGCGGTGGTCGGTTGCCAGTGAAGTGACCCATTATTATACTCGAATCAGATGCTGTACAGGAACACGTCGAGTGCGCCACGGCCGAACTGCTGCGTGGATCGGCTGGAGGGAATACGGAGAGGCTGTGTCATGCCGTACGTTGCACAGCCACATATCGACATATCTCAACTCAATACGCACTTGCCTGCTGCGTAATGTTGCCGTACTAACCCAAAGAACAACATAAAAATAAAAAAACACGAACTAAACAACATGACTCACAAAAATACAGGGCCTGGCCGGGAATTGAACCCGGGACCTCCTCCAAATGACCTCTGCCCTAAGAAGGAATCATACTACTAGACCACCAGGCCAATATAAAATGAGTTGGGTCAGGGCCCACACAAACTTGCTATCACTTGGATGGAAAGCTCCCTCGGCAATTGTCAGCCTCCCCCGCCCCGTTCGTTTGTCGCGGTGACTATGCGGACTGCTGCTTACTCCGACACGATCTATAGTTGCTCTTGTCCGTCGCCCATGCACCTAGAGACTGGCGCTATTGAGGATGTCAGCCTCTTTCTGGTTGGACAGTTCTGAGGACTCAATCTCCTTTGCACATTCGGGAATCCTATCTTCGCGCTCCTCAACCGATTCGTTCAACCTCGACAATATCCCGCATCTTGATAACTATCCTTCTCTGCTTTTGCCTTCGCACAGCCTTGATTCCTTGCCTCGTTGCGGTCTCGAACTCATCAAGGTTCCGCCATGCCCCTCGACTACACCTCGACGGAAACGGACTCAACCTGTCTTCCTGTCGCTCATGGCCACTCTTGCCCTTCCAAAGGGCAACCGCCCCAATAGGAGGCATGCCAATGTACTCGTATCATCTCCCACGCCAGAACGCCTTAAGAACGTCGCACGACTCAAACCGGCGTTACAGACCTGGATTGTGAGCATTGGCCCGTTGTCGGGCCATTGTACTGATTAGTTCTGTAGTCCGCCGTTCCCAGATCAACCCCCCCTGATATATTACCTTGGTCTCCCCCTCGTGAGAAACCTGCTTATGTCTGGGTCCCTGAGGGTTCCTGCTTTCCTCCGTCATATCTTCGGAGCTGTCTCCGTGAGCGCCACGGTCCCATCGACATCGACACACACTTGCTATCTGCTTCCGGTGAAGCTCGACGGGATGTTACCTTGAAACCCATCGAGCCCCCCGACTCACCCTCTCGGTCACGTCCGCTTCGTCGCTGTGCCTCGCACAGTACGCACGCCCGTGTGGCAGACTGCACGCCATCAAACATTCCGATGATGTTTCCGCCTCTCCACGTGCGCGGGAAACTACGTCGCTGGTCTCTTGGTGTTCCGCCAAGCTATATAAGTACAGAATTTATGAAACGTCGCCACGAGTCACAGCGTGTCGACGCTGTCGCCGGAATCGAGTCTGCTCAATCCGATGCATTAAATGATGCCCCGCCTCTGCCTCTGCCCGCTATCAAGGTATCTACCTCGACTGCTACCATTGCGATATCATTTCCCGGTTCTCCTGAAGGCCCTACACATGCCCCTGAGCCTCTTGCCATCCGGCGTGGACAGAAGATGCTTGCTTCCCTTACGCTACGCTCACCACGGCATGCGACCGAGGAATACCCAAGCATCCCCACGGCATTCCTTGGTACACCATCTGCATACTCGCCACATTTCCGACTTACTTCATCGAATGCGCAATGCGACGCCGAGTCTCTCCCCATCAGTGACATGATCAGTACATTGCGGTCTCAAGCTGCTAGCCTGAAAGTTTCGTCACCCGCGGAATCCAGCTCTTTTCTGTCAGAGAGACCACCTTCAGTGAATTCACTTTCAGCGGCATCCTCAGACATTGTCCCAAGCGTCAGCGAGGACGATTGGGCATTTGCACATGATTTGATGTCGCGCTATGGGGAACACGCACAAGATAGAACGCCAAGGAAGGAAAAATATCGCAAGAAACAAGCTTCTTCCATAAGGAAGTCTCTCACATCGAACATCGGTTCAGCAATTCAAACAAGCCAAGTGCGGCGTGCTTCAGTCCCCCCTGCAGCGTCTCCACTAAATAATCGTGCAAAGTCGAGTTCCGCCCCCCGCACTGACCTCGTTACACCCAGGCATAACACGAGGGCTGCAAGAGATTTGCGCCGGACTACACCAAACATTGGAACTACGAGATATGTACCACATCTGCACTCTAACCCTCGTCTGCCGGAGCCTCTTAGACCACATTCTCCCATCACTCCCCATCACGCGGGCGCACTTGCACTTGACTCTCCTAAGTATCCGAAGGTCGAATCCTCAATCCAACGTCCTCCTGGGATATTGAAGCACGCGAAGAGTGTCCGCTTTGCTGACATGCCGAGGCCAAACGACGCCAAGGGTAGTGTGCTATCGGCAAGCCAACTACATACGAGTACGCCGAAAGGGACTGGGGGTTTCCCGTCTCCTCAACCATCTCCGCTGCGTGCTTGCTTTGTAGCTGAAGATTCGGAGGTCCGGACACCATCAGGACTGCCTTATCCAGCCCCAGACTCAGAGGAAAATCCTCCCATCTTCACTGTGAATCAGCGTGATTCTGTTCAGCAGACACCCTCTCAGACTCTTAATTTGCGCGGTTCGATGTTCAACTCACCGACGCACTCTGTCACTCCGGGCTTGTTTGGCAACTCTCTACTATCCTCTGGTAATTCTCGCGTAGAAAAGACACTCTCGCCGAATGTCAGGGAGCGTGACAGAGATAAAGAGAAGGAGAACAGTCCTCTCGCATCGCGTATGCAGAGGCGATCGAGAAGGCACACAGAGGTCGTCGACGAGAATACTGCAAGCCGTACTTTAGGCGGCGAGGGTGCCAGTGGGGGCCGCAAGCACCGATTATCGAGTCCGCTCAAGTCATTTTTTGGACGATTGCGAGCATAGGCATCGTTTTTTCGCACACGTTTTAGTTGGTAGAGTGTGTTCAGCATCAATCACTTATGTATTTGCCAGTGCCAGTGGACAATTTGTTCTTGTGTTTTGTGTATGGAGCCATCATTGAGCGCAGCCACCAAGTCGATATTATCGAATTTTGACATTATAATGAAAGCGATCGCTCTCCAGACGCAGCCACCTCGCCACCAGAACCTGTTCACACATCCCACCAACTCCCTCGGAAAGCCACGTTGCAGCTCCCAAGCGTAGCAAAGCGTCCTAAAGAATGCCGCGGGGTATCCCCAACGTTAAACGTGATGAGTCGCAAGGCATGCGCTACACGGCATTTCATGTGCCTCTACAGTATGTACCTGTTGCTCATACGATAGCTTATTTGCCAAATCGACCTCTAGACCCAATCCAAAGCATGTGAGCACGTCGTATCTCAAGTCGGAGACGAACACCATATGGGGCCGGAAAGCAACACGGAGCAAAGCCACCGCGGACGAACCCCCACCAGAGGTACGTGTAGAGCCTCACCCTTCGCACAAATACGGAATGCATTCGATGTACTAATGGACGTGGATGATCCCGAGCAGGGCCGCCGTGGTTCGCACGTCGTCGTTATTCACCCGGGTTCGCGATATTTGCGTGTGGGCCGCGCGTCCGACGTCACGCCCGTAACCGTACCTAATGTCATCGCGCGGAAGACCATCAACGCCCCCGCCCCTACGTTTCTCGAGGGAATCTCGCGCCCCCGTAAGGGTCGCGCCCGCGCACCGCCTCCACCGCCGGCCAACAACGACGAATACGCAGTGGTCCGCGGGTCCGACGATCCCGTGCGTTCAACCCCACCCGCTTACCCTTTCTCCGAACGCGAGCGCTGAAGGCTGACGGCGTGTGACGTGATGGCAGTTTGACGAAAAGTTGGAGGTGATTCAGGTGTCCCTGCGTGACCGCATGCGATTTTACAAGCTTCGCGTGACGCCCGACGCGGCGATCAAGGCCGCGACGTTCAACGAGCAGCTCAAACCCGAGCTCATACCGGAACAGAACGATCCATTCTGCGTGGACTGGATTCACGACGTCGCGGCTGAACCGTATTATGTTGGGGAGAAGGTGCACCCGCCCCGGCCCGTTTTTCTAGTTGATGTTTATGAAGTATTTTTTTGGCAGGCCTTGAGGCTTGCAGATCCCCAGAAGCAAGGGTATCTCGTGAGGTGGCCGATCCTGAGCTCCAAATTTAATACCAGGGACTACCACTCAATACCGATGATTATCGACGACATTGAGACCATTCTCGAGACAACGTTGCAAGGCTCACTGGCTATCAGTCCTCGGGAGTATAAGGTATATTTCTATCGGGATACTGGTGCCCATATATATTGAATCACATCTAAGGACTACTCAGCTGTGCTGGTGATACCCGATTACTATGATCGACCATACGTCCGCGAGATGATTCAACTGTTGCTAGTTCGTATGGGATTCAAGCAGTTGTGCGTTCAGCAGGTATTTTTAGTTCTTCTTTGTAAGGGACAGCTAACGAGCCAGTCAGGAATCACTGGCTGCTACGTATGGTGCAGGCATATCTAGCGCTTGTGTCGTCGACATCGGTGCGACCACTGTAAGTATCGCCTGCGTAGACGAAGGTATGATCATACCCGAAACAAGGTGAGACTTTTTGTGCCATCTTTGTGAGTGGATCTGATTTTGATGTTGCCAGGATCTATCTGAATATGGGAGGCGATTATATTACCGAGTTCCTGTATGTCCTACTTGACAGGATCTGTTTCCCATATAGGGATATAGATCTAGCTCGATCCTACGATTGGAACGTAATGGAGGATCTGAAAAGCCGACTATGTACTCTAACAGAGGTGAGACTAGAATCTGCAGCGAACCCCTTCGGTTATTATTCGTTGACGTGGCAGGCTTACAGGAGAATGTCGCACTCAATCTTTATGACTTTGTTGTACGGCGACCAAGGAGACCAGCTGAGAAGTACGGCTTACGTGCTTATGATGAAATTATTCTCGCGCCCATGGTAAGTCTCGTTCTGGTTGTCCCATGTGTTCGACACATCACGTCCGTGTAGTGCCTCTTTGAACCCCGTATGATCGACTTCGATGAAATAAAGCAGGGTGTGCGACCATCACAGGATCCGGGTGTTTCAGAGGAGATCGTCGATATACGCGAACCACGCGATGCACTGATGGAGAAATACGTTCGTTGCTCTTGACTGGGCTGCGGATGTGGCGGTGGCGCTGATGCTGATCCCGTAGACCCAAGCCATGATAATCTCAACTCAGCACCTCTTCGCTCCTAGGAACCTTGCAGCTCTAGAAAACGCCACTGCGCAGTCGCAAAACCAGGACGCACCAGCATCGGGCCAGCAGACCCCACTCAATACCGCAGTTGCAGCACAACCTGGAGACGT